CTTCATGTACTCGCCTGTTTGGTTAAACATTAATGCAGGACAAATGCTGAATGTGACTATTGTTAAACTCTTGGCACTGGTAACTGAGGAATCTTTTGGAAACCGTAAATCTGATGCATTAGGTTTAAACAGTATAATCACGTGCAAAATCAGATATTTTTCCTAATGTAACAATATTGTGTCTTTCAGAATACAGTAAAGCAGAAAGCACTGAGAGTGTTAAAGCAGAAGCGAATGTAAGTTGAAGCCTTTCTCAGCTTGTAATTAATAAAAGCCTCTTTCCTTTGAGGAGGGGTGGTACACTTGCGTTTCTCTTTCCAGTACTCTTCTGAGCATTCTTTGAAGAAAAATGCTGAACAAGCCTTTCAGAAGCATCTCCTTACAGATTTTGTGTCAGCATTTATACATCAGTCTATAAATTTGTATTGGTAGATGACTGAAATCTGCTCCTTATTATAGCTGTGTTTGGCTCCTAAACATTGTGAGAGATTGCCTCATTTTATATAATTAATTGATTACTGTAAATTGTGTACTTGAAGACCTTGCTCTGGTTGACTGGATATTTACCCATTCTCTGTGGACACCCTTGGGGACTTGAGCAGATGTAGCACAGGTAATTGTGTTTATGCAAATAAACCAAAATGGTTAGGTTGGGTGATCCTGTGCTCTGGTCTTGTCTAGTATACTGTCTTGAAAAGTGTCTTGAACTGATCCAAAGGAAAGGATGTCAGAACAAAGCAAGTATTCAGGAATGTTTCATTGCAATATCTTACAGCAAATGAACTGCAAATTTTAGATGCTGTCTGAGCCAAAGCCAAAGCTCATATCATCTAGCATTTTATATCCTTCAGATAAATTGTACCTTTATAGATGTACTCAATTACTACTTAAGTATTTGTGAGCTCTTACCACCCAAAATATCATATGGCAAGGAATGCAATACTTTATTTAGATATTGTGAGGGGGACTTAATTTTGTGGTTTAGGTTTTGGGGTTTTTGTTCTGTATTTTGACTCTGCTGCCTGTTAATCTTCCTTGCCAGTTGTTCCTCTATTTACAGTCTCCAGGCTCTTCATAATAGGCTATTGTCATATCCCTCAGTCATCTCTTTTCCATCTTGTTGAAAAGTGATGCATTAGTTGTCCAGAAGGTTTTGTATTTGGATGATCCTTGTCTTGCAGACCTCCCACTTTGGATGCTTGAAGGGCTCATTGTTCATTTTTATGCTTTTGTTCTTTTACTTAACTTGACGTAGTTTACATTACTGATTTAATACAAGTTTACCTTGGAGAAGGATGGTTTATTGCTTTTTAAAATCTCCCTTTTGTTTTTCGTTAGCCTTAATGGTTTTCTGTTGGTTCCCTATCCTCCCCCTCCTCCCTGCCCTGCAAAGCTCCAGTGCAGAACCATTGTGTTTTGGATAACCTGGCAACTCTTCCATTCTGCTTAGAGTATTAGTAAGCATGGCATGCATGCCAAGCTTATGGTGATTAAACTCCTGCTGTATTCTCATCTACTCCTAGGCAAATTTGGTGTTGCTGTCAATTAAAACAGAAGCTTAGTTCAGGAATAGCTTTGTCAGCTTCAAATACACAAAATGGCCAGATTTTTATGAAGCTGTTTATTCTGCAGTTGTTTATAATAAATGAAAAACACCCCAAGTCTGTTCCCATGTTTAGACTACTGATGCTGATTTTTCAGGTTGGGTTTTTTTTTTTTAATTAATAATGTTTGTGGTAATAATAAGTCTGGTGTTTTAAAGCTATTATTTGCATTGTTTTTTACAGGTATGAACAACAGAGGGATAATCTGTCACAGCAGTCTTTTAATATGGAACAAGCTAATTACACCATTCAGGCACTGAAGGATACAAAGACAACGGTACCAGTATATTAATCTCACACTTGTTTAATTTGTGTGTGCTACATCAGATACAAGCATGTGGTCTGACTCTCCTTTAGGTGGATGCAATGAAACTGGGGGTGAAAGAAATGAAGAAAGCTTACAAGCAAGTCAAGATTGATCAAATTGAGGTGAGCTTCTATAGTTAAATGATTAAAAAGCAGAAATAATCTACTGAAATAGTGGTGAGTGGGCTATTAACTTAAAGGTAAGCTGACTATTTTAGTTGGCTTTTTTTTATGGGATCACCATCGTAATTCCTTCCTAATTTTTCTTGTACTACGTAATCAGTTGTTGGCCTTATTGTACTGATTATTGTTTCCTTGCTGAGCTAATCTTTAAACTCTCCCTTCCTCTCCTCTGCACTTCAGCATGTTAGTGGATACTTCCTGCTATATTTTTTTTGTCCTTTTTTTTCCTCCTGTGCAGATTAGTGCTTTACTCCCCCAGTTTAAGAAAGTGCCTGATTAAAAAGAACAAAACCTAAAACCAAAAAACCACTAATCAAACAAAAAATGTCATTTCAAGAGGTCAGCAAGGCCTGGCCCTGACTTCAGAAAATGCATATCCCGCCAATAAGGTTTTTAAATATAATTTCAAATATGTTGCTCTTATCCAATGCCAGTGCAGAATTCTTTCAAGTTCTCTTTCCTATGCTGTTATGTGGCCTGCATTGTAAATCTTTAGGCAACTGTTTTCTCCTTACTTGTACCCAAGTACAGTGCCAATAAATGTGCTAAAGTATCTTCTAAATTTTGCTGTGGCACAATTTATTGTGCTGATTTTCCAGATGGTAGATTTAATTGATATAGATATGATACCTTTTCTGCTTTTCAAGATAATGGTGGACCAGGTAATTTATTAGAGGTTTTCAGTTTTCCCTGAAGAGTACTTCAAACAAATAGATTTTGCAGAAATGTTTCAAGGTTCCTCTTTTTCTACCTATAATTAAAATTATAATTTTAATAGTAGTTAAAGCCACATTAGCACTGAATACGTGTGCCTTGACTTGTCTTAATGCTGCTTCAAAAAATAGTTTATGCATTAAAAGAATTGAGTGTTTTGTAGGAATTACTAAACAGAATTTGATTAAATATGGACCAACTAAAACTACTGATTCTTGCTTCAGGACATACAAGATCAATTGGAGGATATGATGGAAGAAGCCAATGAAGTTCAGGAGGCACTGAGTCGTAGCTATGGAACACCAGATATTGATGAAGATGATTTGGAAGCAGGTGAGGAAAGGAGAGGATGATTTTTTACATTACTGAATGTAAAAATCATCATACTGTCATACAGTGAGTTTTAATTTGATAAGTCAAATGCTTTAAATGTGTTTTTTAAAAATTGCTTTTTTTAAACATTAAAGCTGCATTTCCTTTAAAAGCAGTAACAAGAGCACGATTAAAAAATGAGATACCAATGGAATGCTGCAAGGCAGGGAAGGAGGTTCTCTCTAGTGTGTGTGTGTCTGTGTATGTATGTGTGTATTTCCTATCGATGACTAATGCTAAATGAGTCTGAATGTAAGCATTCATCGTGAACCTTGTTTCTTTGTAAGAGCAGCTTTTCTTTTGCAAAAGGAATTCCTTGCATAATTTTTCAACCAACATAATTCACTTTCAGAACTGGATGCCTTAGGTGATGAGCTTTTAGCTGATGAAGACAATTCCTACTTAGATGAAGCCGCATCTGCTCCAGCAATCCCAGAGGTCACTCCTACAGACACAAAAAACAAAGTGAGTCCTTTGCTTTTTAAAAGCAAATTACATTTTTTGTTTGTTTGTTTTGAATTAATCACATTTGTGTTTGTTGCTTTATATTTGGGACCCCTAATATTTGGAAAAAAAAAAAGTGCTTAATGCTTTATGTATAATAAATGTCATATCTACATATGACAGAATACAGGGTACTGAATGCTCCTAATTATATTTAAAGAAAATAACTAAAATGGCATTTTGTAACTCCTATCAAACATTTTCAGACTGCAAATATAATTAAAGTGTACTGTTACAACTCTAGTAAATGTTATTAGTAATTGTAATTCTTAAAACCATAAGAGAGTTTTCTCTCTGTTTGCTTTTGGGACTGTAATAGAGCTCTGTACGGAGGAAGTACACTTTGATGCCAGCTGTCCCACTGTGGTAGTTGCAGATATAGAAACTTTATAAAAATGGTAAGGAAACGTTTTGAAACGTTCTGGTTGGTAGAGAGTTGTTAACCCATTCTTCTTCTTTCTTACAGGATGGCGTATTGGTGGATGAATTTGGATTGCCAAAGATCCCTGCAACATAAATGTTTCAAAAGCACAATGGATATAATGAACTATACTTTACAAATTGTTTTAAGAACCTTTTTTTTTTTTTTTTTAAATCCTGGAGAGCTTGTCCTTCCAGTGTAACCTTAATATCACTACATCCTAGAATGCAATATGAATGGCTGGTGGTGTTCTTTCTTTGAAGAAAGTTGTTCTATTACTGACTTCTCTGTTAATGGAAAGCTCGTCACAATTCCCTTTCAGTGGAAGCAGTCGGTCTTACAGGTTTTGATTTCCGTGTCTTATGGACAAAGTAAAACGTGAAGAGTAGTGGTGGCTTTTGATAGCTGAGGTTTACTTTGACTTTGTATTATGTTTCTCTTTCTTGAGACTAAGACTATACGTTGCTGCTTACTCTCTGTAAAATAGCTCCCTTGTTACTATGCTTATTTGATAAATCAGAGCAATTTTTAAACTACTGCGGTCTCGAGACTTTTATGCGATTGTACTTGTAACCTTCTAGAAAACTGTACCAAATCGGGTTGTCGTTAACTCTGTGTATTCTGTGGAGACATAAAACCACGTAGATTAGCAGATCGCTCCGTGTAGTGTTTTCGGTAACCGATTTGGTTTCGCAGACGGGGCGGGGGCAGGTTATCAGCCCAGCGTGTGGCACGAGCACGGGATTTGCCAGAGGCGGGGGCTGGATCTGATCCTCGCCGCTGTCGGGGTCGGGGTCGGGGTCGGGGTCGGGGTTGGGGAGGAAGCGGTAAAATCACAGCGGGAAGGCGGCATTCCCGTTTTCCCGGTGCGGAAGTGACGTGCTCCGGGCGCGCCCCGGGAGGCGCCGCAGACGCTTCCCTGTGCCGGGGCGAGATGGCGGCGCCCGGAGCGCCGGTGACCGTCACCGTCACTTACAGTAAGAGCCCCGGGGCAGGGCAGCGGCAGGGGCCTCGGCTCCGGCGGCGAGGGCTCCGGCAGGCCGTTCCCGGGGGCGGGGCGGGCAGGCCGCGGCTGCCCCGGCGAAGGGGGGAGCGACCGGGGCCGGCTGGGCCCCGCTCGGCCCGCTCTCCATCCCGGCTGCGGCCCTGAAGTTTCGCTCCTCGCTGGCCACAGCTTGCCAGTGTCTCTTTCCAGCTGGATCGCTGGCGTAGATCTGCTGTGAGGGGGATAGTGGAAGCGGGGTACAGGGAGCGAGCGGCCTTTGCCAGGAGCGCAGAGCTGCGGTCGGTGGGGGACAGCGGGGACCATCGGGGAGCTGGAGCGTCTCTCTTAGCGGGAAGGGCTGAGGGAGTTGGGCCTGTTCGGCCCTCGAGAAGAGACAGCTGAGAGGAGACCTTGTCAGTATGTACAAATGTGTAAAGGGGGGATGCCAAGGGGATGGATCCAGGGTCTTCTCCGTGGTGCCAAGCAATAGGACCAGAGGCAATGGGCAGGAACTGATGCACAGGGAGTTCCACCTGCATATGAGGTCACTTCTTTACTGTGAGTGTGACCAAGCACTGGACCAGATTGCCCGGAGAGGATGTGCAGTGTTTTTTTCTGAAAATATTCAGAAGTCATCTGGACACAGTCCTGTGCCATGTGCTCTAGGATGGCCCTGCTGGAGCAGGGACGTTGGACTAGCTGACCCGTTCTGTGATTCTGTTGTTTGGTAGTAATTTTCATTTAGATGCAATATATTGCTGAAATCAGCACTGCAACTTAAAGGCAGGTGCTACCCGATAGGCTTTTCTCTTGTTTGTTGAAAAATACTTGGATGTTTGCAGCTAATGGGCTGCAAGACTGCAACAGAGGGTGTGGTTTCTTCAGTGTGACAGATGGGTGCTGACCTGCTGGAATGGGTCACCCAAAGGCTGGCTGACACAACTGAGTTGTTTTTCCTCAAAAAGAGAATTAGGAAGAGGGAGAAGAAGGTGGGAGGGAAGATGGGCTTATATCTGCAAATAAATATAAAATGTTAGTGTGAAGAGGTGATAATAGCCCTGACTCAACAGTTCTTAAAAATAAGATGGAAACACCAGGGTTAAATTTTGGTGAAGTGAGACAGTAGGAGGACTGAGGTGGACAGTAAGGTATTAAGTCAGCAAGGCATTCTGCTGATTTTTGTTAGCAAAACTTGTTAATTTTTTATTGGATTTTTAAAAAATTATTGAATGATAAATTCCACCTGTGTTCCTTTTGCACTATGCTGGTGATGTTTTTTCCATATTTAGAGTTTATTTCTGCTTGGTCATTCACATTTTCAAATTGTTACATTATTTTGTTAAAATGTTTTCTTTATCACCTGGTAGTTTTATTTAAGAGTGTTTGGTGAGGAACTTTGTGGAATAATCCGTTTGAATTGTCATGATTCATGTGCTCGTTTATGCCTTCAGAGAGCTTCATTTGGTCTGAGGGGTTTTAATTTGCAAAGATATCAATAACTTAATGATATTGACATATTTATAATTCCAGCATCTTGCTTTTTGCCAACAGTCACCTTATGTGAGAATGTTTTTATCTTTGCTGTTGTGTTCTTACCTGATAATTACTTTGTCATTAATAAATAGCAAATAGAAGCCATTATTCACCTTGGGCTTCAGGTGTCTGATTTACACCTGCTGCTGTCAGATGCTGGTTTAACACTTTGCACAAACCTTTTTAGTAAAGTTTTGCATGCATGAGTGAAAGTGGGGAAAGATGCAAATTAGGATTGAGAAACTGAATGGCAGCAGACCCACATGCATCACTTCCCAACCTGCAAGTATGGAAGGTTGACCCTGGCTGGACTCCACAAGCCACTCTGTCTCTCACGTCCTCAGCTGGGCAGGGGAGAGAAAATATAAGGAAAGGCTGATGGGCTGAGATAAAGGCAGGGGGAGATCACTTACCAGGTACTGTTCACAGGCAAAATAGACTTGGCTTGGGGAAATGTAGTTTATTAACATTCAAATCAGAGTACAGTAATGAGAACTAAAAAAGAAAACCCCACCTTCCTCCACCCCTCCCTTCTTCTCGGGCTTGACTTTCTTCCCAAATTCTTTAACTCCTACCCCCTGGGCAGTGCAGGGGAATGGAGGCTGTGATCAGTTCATCACACTCTGTCTCTGCTGCTCATTCTTCCTCAGGGGGAGGATTCCTCACACTCTTCCCTTGCTCCAGCATATGGGTCCCTCCCAGTGATTGCAGTCCTTCAGGAACAGGCTGCTCCAATGTGGGTTCCCTACAGGCTTACAAGCCCTGCCAGCAAATCAGCTCCAGTGTGGGCTCCTTTCTTCAGGGGGTCACAGGTCCTGCCAGCTGCCAGTGCAGGCTTCCCAAAGGGGCCATAGCCTCCCTGGGGCATTCATCTGCTCTGGTGTGCATCTCCTCCACAGGCTGCAGGTGGATCTCTGCTCCACTGAGGACCTCTGCTGTGAATTTACAGTAAATTTTTTTTCACAGTCTGCCCAAAGTAGTACTTATAATTTCTGATTAAACTGGTTCTCTTGTTAGACAAGCTTCATCTGTTTCTCAGTTAATGCTTGTTTTTGTTTTTTTTCTCAGTTGCTCATCAGCACAGCCCTTACACAAAGCAGTTGTATATATCAAAACAACTTTTTAAAATATATTGAGATTGTGCTTTGTGGGATTTTTTTTTCCCCCCAACAAATCAGGAAGAAGTTCTGTTTATGGAAAATGCTTTGGTGAGAGGGGCATAATGTAATTTAGCTTAAAAATGTCTTAGATTTAACAAGTGTTGTTGGACTTTTAAAGTTTTCAGGTCACAGTGTCACTTTTCATGTGACTTGTAGGAGGCTGGAGTATTTTAAAATCAATGTTTCTAGCACTATTCTTGTCAAAGATACGTGCACTTAAAATTAGTGGCATGAGAATAGTTTTATTTCTGGTATTTGCTCAGGACTTTTCTCTTCCTGCAGAGTTAAAAATGCCTGTCTTGATTTTCCATGCAGCCAGTGGTGGTTGATTCCTGTGGGTGCTTTCAGATTGACAGCTCTTAAATGCATGGGAGCAGAGGGTTATAGAAAGGGTCCATTCCAAAGCAGAGATTAATAGGCATACTCCTTTTTTCCTAAGAACTTCCTTCTTACTGCATGCAAGTAATCTTAGGGAGTCTGAATAGGATGCTCCATAAGTGGATTGTGACAGATAAGCTGGCACTGCTCAAACTGGTTAAGGCTGCTTATCAGTAGTATTATGGGGAGAAGTAATTTTTGGACTGTGAGAATTCTCTCTGTTTGGTGTGGAGGCAGCACAGGGTCGACACTGATTGCCTGTTTCTCATGTATGAGGAGTGGGGAGCAAAGGAACTGATAAATTGTCTCAGATACCAAGACTCATGCCATTAAAAGTTCCTACAAGTAGGAAATGGGATACTTCACGAAGGTGTGGGCTTTCATGCTTCAGCTTGTGGGATGTCTGGACACCATCTGTACTCTTAAAAAAAAGATAGGGAGTAATATTTAGCAGGAGAATTTTGCCAGTAAAATACACCCGATCAAACTCTTCAGGTTATTACAGTGTAAACCAGAAGTTTCAGCTGAGTCAGTTACTCCAAGAGGAAGGACTGAAAATTATGATTGTACATGAGGATCAGTGGTTTGAGAACTTTCTGCATTAATGGAAATAAATATTAGAAATGTTTTTTCTGTAATGTTTTCTAAGTAACAATAAGTATTACTGTTACTCTGTTTTTCTGTTAGGTAACGAAAAACACAGTATTCAGGTTGCTTCTCAGCAAGAAGACGGTGAACCTACACTACAAGACATGGCTGTACTTATTGAACAAGTCACTGGAGTTCCAGTTCCCTTTCAGAAACTGATATACAAAGGTAACTTATGAGTGTGCAACATTTCTTAGAGATTATAAGCTTTCATCTTAGTCACTTTCAAGTGTTCACGTTTTAAATGTCTTCAAAAAGACATTCCTGTGCCACTAACTGTACTTTAACTGTGTTTTTTCTCCTCTCTCAATTTTCATTTAGGAAAGTCTCTGAAAGAACTGGAACAACCATTATCAGCACTTGGTGTTAAAAATGGTTGCAAAGTCATGTTGATTGGGAAAAGGGTAAGTGTTGCCTTGGGACTTTTTTTTTCTTCCTTAAATTATTGTAATTTTTGTCATTAAGTCAGATGCTGAACACAGAAACAGGTTACAGCATTAACCTAATTTCGTACATCTACCCACAAAATTGAATTCAGTCTCATGTTACCCTGCAAAAAACTGCAGTTTGTACATTTCTGAAATTCCATTATTGACTGGCTTCTGCTTTATGTTATTGACAAGACCGTGCGCAATCTATTGTCAGTGCTCATGAACCTTCGGTGCACCGATGATCTTATCTGCTCATCTTTTTTTTTTCTGATTTAAAAAAACCTCCCCCAACTGTAGCTACTGAGTCTGCTGGGTTATTTCTGGTGGAAGGACTTGTGGCGGGCTTTGCCAAGTAGAGGACAAGGTAATAATCCTGTGATATAAATGCCACCTCTACTTTAAAAATCCTAAGTTAACAATAAGAAAAAAAAAGTTTGCACTTTTCCTTTTTCCCTTCATTTTAATCTTATTTAGTGTGTTTATATACCTTGCTCTTCTAGTATTTGTAATTAAGCTCTGGAAGAAGCTTATTCATGAGAATTTTCGTATTCTCAAATATGAAAAGAATAGCCACAGTGTAGTATGTAAACCAACAGAAGCCTTTATGTCTGTATGGCCAGTGCTGCTGCTTTTTGGCTGCATCGTGTATCCATTTGTTCCATAGTTGTGAATGTTGTACTTTTGAATACACAGAATAGTCCAGAAGAAGAGGCTGAATTAAAGAAGTTAAAAGATTTGGAGAAGTCAGTGGAGCAAATAGCTAATAAGTTAGAGGAAGTTAATAAAGAGTTCACAAGTATCCAGAAGGTATGCCACTTTTGTATCACTTTATATCTTTGCAAAACAGTTTTCTAGGTATATGTATTAAAAAAACCCCAAACAAAACAGTTTAAAGGTTTTGACTAGTCAGTAATAGGCTGCCCCTCCTAATTGCCCAAGGGTCCTGTATAATTATTAGTGAATTTCAAATGCCATTTATGAGTTTGCAAAATAGAGACGTGGCACTATTTGGAAAAAGGTAAATTTTGTTTCATATGAGATAAATTATCTTCTTTATATCTGGAAAAACATGAAAGAATTCTCTTAAAGTCCAAAGGAGAATATCTGTATCTGTTACTTTTTTATGTTTTAAGTAAACCTAGCAGATTTTACATTTACCATGTCAAGAATTGATAGAATACAGATTGAGACTGGAGTCCCTACCATGCTTGAAACTACAGAAATAGTAAATGCTGTTTTCTGCTGTTGTAGATTGGCAGGTCTTCTAAGATGAGTATTCTGTAGGGTATGGGATAATTTTGTTGTTCCTTCCTCAGGGATTTTTAGCAAAGGACCTCCAAGCAGAAGCACTAAAACAGCTGGACAAGAGGATAAAAGGAACTGCAGAGCAGTTCATGAAGACCCTGGAACAGATTGATGCCATTGTAAGTAACTAACCACAGAAGAGGGTCAAATCCCAACAGAAACTTGCTGTTAAGAATATCTTATAATTCATTTGATATTTTAACATACTAGAAATTTTAGTTTGGCTTTGAAAATTAATTAATTCCTTTGCTCATTTTTTCCTTTAATATCCAGTTCTTGGCCTGATATGCCTCCAAAAGATATCTGGCAGCCTCTGTTTCTAACTGGTGACATTAATGCCTGTATATGCATTTCTATTCTGCAGAGGAGCTTCATTTGGGGCAGCAGCCTGTTAAGGCTATAGGAAATGGTTATCCTTTACTCAAGCTTTGCCCTTTTAGTTTGTTTTTGCAAACTTTTGTGGTAGCAGTAATTAATACTCATTTTTGCTAGGCTCTGTGTATTCAACAACTACGAATTTTTGGATTTGGGAAGTGGAGAACTAAGTTTGTAGTCCTACAGTATTTGGGGTGTGAGAGGAAAAAATACAATGTTGTCACTGCCAGAGGTGTGAAAGAAAAGTCTAAAAGTGATGCTTTTGAGTAGAGTAGCTGTAACTTAAACATTTTAACATTAAACATGTTGAAATAGCTACTGCTTCCACTGCAGGAAAGGGGGAGGGATGCTAGGAGCATCTTACAGATTTCTAATGTTGTGACATACTCAGACATTGCCATAAGCCACAGGTCTTTGAAGTTTTCTTCAGGAGGAATACAGTTGAGTCTTGTTCAACAGTTGAAGATTTGTGTGTGTGCATTACCAGAAATGCTGTTTATTTCATCAGTTAAAACATTTGGTCCAGGAGTAAAAGTCAAAATACACTACTTATTACAAATCTTGGTGAGTAGAACACAGAAAATGCTTGAATTGATCATCTGGCACAGGTTTTTTAAATAGCAGAAAGGTTTTTCCAAGAAAATAAAGTTTTTCTGAGATCAGTAGGAAAATTGAATTTCACAGTCATGGCAGTATGTACTTGTTGAATCTGCTCCAATTTACATGAACTCTATTATCAGCATTGGTATCTGAGCATTTACTTTGTTCCCATGATATTTTTTTTATTAAATGACAGATTTGCAATCTAGAAAGACAGTATTGCAGAGAACAGGTTGTTCTAACAATCGAAAAATAAAAGCTGTCCCTTCCGAAATACCAGTCACTGATTTTGTTTACATGACAAATCTATCAAATTGCATGTATCAGTACAGAGGACATTGATGGTGTTACTGACTCAAAATTATGCTCTGGTGGCCCATCCTCCTTTCTTGAGGATTTTTTTGGGTTATAGTTCCTCTTTAGAACTTACTTAAATTACTGTGCTGTTCTGATTAAACTTAACTGTCTCCTTGTCCTAGATATACTAGTCATCTGGTAAATCTATACCAAATTAACATTTAAAGGATTAAAAGAAAGAAGTATTCTGAAAAACCATCATTGTGCCTGTAGCAAACATCTCCCAGACTCCTGGAAAGTTTTGCCACTTACAATAAGATGAGAACGTACTATTAAACTTTTGAATTTATCTGAATCAATAAATATTTCATAAGCTTTTCTTAGTATAATCCTTCAATCCCTTAGCATGGATCATAAACATAAAATTAAATCTTCAGAAGAAAATTGTTTTAAAGCTCAAGGAACATTGTCATGTGAAAGGGAAGATTTTCTCAAACCCTTTGGTCAATCTGTCATTGCTCCAGATTAGCCGAGGCTCTTGGGCCCAACCAATGTGTCTGCAGTGTCCCGTTATGGGGACCCTTCACTGAGCAGTCCTCTGTATTGCAGAGTGGTTCAGCTAACCTGTTCAGGGTTACATGCAGACAGAAAGACCCCCTCCTGGGTCTCCACACCTTTAACTAGTCTGTCAGCACCCCAGGAAGTATTCAGGGACACACAACAACAGCATAAGAGAGACCCCCTGACGGTTCTCCACAGTTGAATATGTTACCTACTGCTGTCCAGCCTCCCTGCAGTGCCATCTCATGACTCCAGTCATGGATTCGTCCCCACCAAGTTTCAGTAACGAAAACTATGTTGTAGCTTTCTACTCTTGGTGCTGTTAGGAACCAAGAGGGAAACACCAGTGAAATACCTCAAAGGGTTTAAGGAGTATTCCTCTAGGAAGGTGACACAGCTGACAGCCCAGCTAGAGTGCCTCACAGCAACACATGGGCAACAGACAGGAGGATTAGAAACCATTTGTCTAAACAATAAAAGAGCACTTTTTTTTTTGTCTATTTTTGATTGTTACATAAGTTTATGGCCCTAAACCGCACAGAGGGGCTCACGTTTTTGCTGAAATGAAACATTACTATAAAGAAACGTCTATTCTTGATCCAGAGTTAGATTAGAAAATAAAAGGTGTACTAATGAGAAACTCCAAGCATTGTATGCATTTTCAACAGTGAGAGCACAATGTTTCTAAAAATGTTCACATAAACATTAAAGAATGATAATTACCTGTACGGGTATTTTACCTATTAAAAACAAACCATACACCTGAGCACCATTCCCCAGCAACACTCCAATTTCACATAGCTCCAAAAAGACAAAGCATGTAACTTTTGTCAGGATGACATACGTGAATATATTGGGTAGTAGGGGTACAGAAAATGATGCAATTTTAATTAAATTAAAAGCTGACAGTGTGTAACACCTCACATCTGTTGCCTTCCATGAGTACATTGCAGAGATGATCAGATGTACAGCTGTAACAGACTGCCAATGTCTGCATTACTGATGATACATTCTAATGATGGCAACTGATTGAGTTAATGTATTATGTAGGTTATTGCTGTATATTACCTATAGACAAGGGGTAAATGTGCTAGCTCTGTTCTTTGCAGTCAGCATGCCATGGTTTTTTATTACTTTTTCTTATAAATTCTTTCTTGTGTAATCATCCTCACTGAGCAGGCATGGCATTCAGGATGCCTGTTCAGAGGATTCTTTGATAATTTCAGTTTTTGCTAATATGTTAATTTCACCATTAAGCTTCATCAACTTGTTTGTTTATTTTACTGCAGAATCTGCCAGAGAATTTCAGTGATTGCAAACTGAAAAAGAAGGGGTTGGTGAAGAGGGTTCAGGTGAGTTTTCTTGGTTTGTTTTTGGTGGTGGTTTTTTTTCCTTTTTTTTTCCCATTAATGTTGGGCACTTGTACACAAGAGCCTGTGAAAATGAGCTGTTTAGATTTTCACAGTGTTTGTTCTTACATTAATATTTCTTATGACCTCCCTTTGAGAGGTATTTAATACTTTATAAAACAGCATACAGCAATACAGATTTTCATTGTTCATGCTGGTTTCGGATAATGCTTGCCGTTCACATTAGTGGTTGACCTTATTGCTGTGTGATAATATTAAGTAATTTTGATAACTAGTAAGGAAAACAGGATTGATCATTCCTCCTTTTTTGCATCTTGGTGGACTGGAGTAATGACTGAGGTCTGGGCACAAAGATGCAGTCAGCTGTAACTCCTGCTGACCTACTCCTGACCTTGCCAGAGGTGTTCTTTGGAAAATTGAACTTCTATTGCAATGTACCAACTTTCTGTGGAGAGCAGGTCTTTAAAATAAGATCTGTGCAGAAGAGCAGCTTGGGGCAGGGGGTTAAGTTGCTTTGCTGTTGTGTGATGCTTATAAAATCCTAGGCATTGTTTGCTTAGAGACCTTGAACTGAAGGTTTCTTAATAAATACTGGAATTCAGCCCCCTCCAACCAAACTTACAGAAATTAATGTAATGCTACTTGTATTACTGGTTTTATTTGTATTGTGCTAAGCTGCATTCCCAGGTTAGACTCCTAAAAATTATTTGCAGAAGTACCTTGCATTCATATATGGCGTTGAAAGATTCTGTCTTTTACTGTAATCTTACTAAGTACTTCCCATTGATGTTTCACAAATTTTTTAAAACAGCCATCTATTTTAGAGGAAGGCCTGTGAAGAAGCACTTTGTAGTAGAAATGGTTTTAGTTAAAGCTTTTGTACCCAGTTACTGAGATAAGTTTAGACAATGCAAATTGAAATGAAGGTGGTTGCTGGAGTAGCTGTGTTATGTGGGGCTCTGAACATGCTCTTGATGGTATATGCCTCAGCATGGACTGATGGCTGTAGACTTTGTGGCAAGCTACTAGACCTCCACTCCTGGGGGAATTTACAGCAGAAATATGTGGGGCTTTGTATAAGAACTGCTGTTAAAGCATAAAAACAGACTCTGTTGAGCAGAGATCAGAATTATTGATGTACTTTTATAGGCACAGTGTTCTACAACTGTAGGTCATGAGCCATTTGAGGACTGCAGAAGAATCTTTAGGGATTTCAGACCAGAGCAGTCAACAACAGTTTGTTTTTCCAGAGCAAAAACAAGAAAACAGTGGCAAGTTATGCTTATTACTCTTAAGTGTTCATGGAAGCAAGCAGGAGCTATTAACTGCCTTCTGTTGCTGGCAGTCATGTATCTTCCAGGATGGGGGAGATAAGTATAAAACGCAGCCAGCAGCAGCAGCAGTTGTTATCACCTTGACTTTTTCATCCCTCAAGTCCTTAATGACATGAGTTGATGACAGTTCAAGGGATTGGATTGGTTGAAAACAGTGTGATGGTTGAGAAACACTCACCTGGCACAACGGTTTGCTGCTCTAGGGGGAGAGAGGTTTCTTAGTGTCATTTTAATGTAAATCACGTGAAATATCTGGTTTGACTGTTAAAGCCTGGTGCAGACATAGTACAACCAAGTGCAAGACATGAATCTTCTCAGAAACTGCAGTGTACTTGCATACCTTAGGATTGGCCTAAAATCGTTTATTGGCTTAAATGCTACTTACTGATAAAGATGAAGATTCAGTTGTGCTCTGTAGTCTGGAGAAATAGAAGAGGTCTTGGTTTAATGAAAGCTCATTTTAGATTTCTCTGGGTAGGTTTGTCATTCCCACCCTTTGGCCTCTGAAGTATGTGTTTTGGAAAGGTGCTTAAAAGTCATGTTCCAAACTGAATGAAGCACTAACTTCTCTGAACCTTTATGTTTCTCATTGTTGTTTATGAAAGTACTTCAGTGGCAGGACTGGTGATGATGGGCAGCCAGGCTATTGCCTTATCAGTTGTCATGTTTCTTTTGGGTTCTGGTTAAATGTAGTTGTGAATAAGCTATTATCAAAACAGCTGGAAGGTGGTTATTGAGTTGGCATCTTCAGATTCAGGATAGGAACTTTCTGTTCTTAAGAGGCACCTTCCATTGCTAAATTGCATATCCAGTGACATTTGTTTGTTTCTTATTCTTAGGTTTTTCTTGCCCAGTGTGATACCATTGAAGGAAATATTGGTCAAGAAATGGACAAGCTACAGTCAAAGAATTTGGCATTGGCAGAATGAGGCATCGCCTTTCATAATTAGGAAACATAATTGCTCTATGAGCAAGAAGAAAAGTTTGCTCTTTGTTTTGGAGCACATATCCAGCTTCCTTTTTTTTTTTTTTTTCCTTTTTAAATCCAGTCTGTTAGACTGGTACCAGTCAGTCATTTCTTGCTGGTTGTCTTGTTTGCCGCTTGGTTAGAAATATTATTTTGAAAAGAAAATCCTTCCTGAAGAATGGCAGAACTAATCTTTGTGATGAATTATGTATCTTATGGATGAATGTTTAGTTAACTAAGTTATGAAGTTTTTGATGGTGGGCAGTTTTGTCTGATGTATCTTTGAATTTACAGCTCAAATCAAAGAAGGCAAACTGAGACAACATCTGGGAAAGCTGAACATTCTAGTAGACAGTTCAGAGCAATAAAAACCCCTACACATTTGTATCTACTTAATGTTTGTATGCATTTATAAATATAAGAAAGCTTGACTATAAGGGAGTTCTACCTATTTTAGCCTTAAATTGTCATAATAAATGGAATGTACTGTAACATGTATGGTACTTAATTTTGAGTGGTGCTTTAAGTTGTTACTGAGCTCCTTGATACAGATGTATGTTTTTTACATAGATTTCTGAGGTACTGTGGTTTTTATAGATTATTTGTATTTTTATTATTTGTGTTCTGTCTTAAGTTGTGTTGGGAAATGAAATGAGATTACTCGTGCTGCTCAAATACCAAGGGTTCAGTTCAAGCAAGGTATAATTAAGGAGCTATTTTGAAAGGGTTTTTTATACTTTTTTCTGATTTTACTGAATTCATGATGCTATATTTAATGGAAAAATGCAGTGATTATTTCTAGTATAAGGCAATCGGTGAATTTTTACAACACGTTGCAAAGTGACACAGCTTTATTTTAGCAATGCCATCTGTCTGAGCGTTATGACTGATTCTTGCAGTCAGATACGTGCCGTGCTTAACCTTCTCTGTTAGATGGAAAATAAGCTTTTTGCCAGAGATGGGAACTTTGAGTGGGTGCAGCCAACTTTGCAGTTGTTGGTCAGAGGCCGTAGCCTGCAGTCAGAGCCTCTGACCATAATGTAGGTGTTCACCTGTAGCTAACACGACTGTAGTAGGAGTTGCTTTTTCACTAGTGCTTCTGGTTGGTAGGTCAGTCATACACAGAGCTGCTGGTGAAGTAGTGACTGGTAAGGAGCCTCTTTCTGTGGGAAAAATAAAGCTCTTTCATCCCAAATGAGTCAGACTGAGAATGTTTAGAAATGGCCCTTAGGTAGTGAGCCTTTATCTGTATGTTTTAATGTTAGCTGTCCTTTCAAGATGAAAATAGGAAATGTATGTAAAAATATCTTAACTTCTAATAAGTTGTAAAACTTAAACAATGCCTAAAGTGTTATAAAGTATTGTCTTTGATGTTTGTAATTGGAGGAGCAAATTTTTTTAAGAGAAAAATGCCATTGGACAAATGAGGTGATAGTCCTGAATTAGAAAGGGTCACTTGTATTCTAAAAATGCTAGTTGACCATATCAAGATTTGAGTTCCCATGCTCTTTATTATTAACCAGTTCTTTCAAGCTTGTATTTTTTCCTTATGAAATTTTCTTATCAGCATCTGTGGAGGATTTCGTGATCTAAACTCTTAGGGACCTTATCTATCACGTTAGGAAATGGTATTGTAGGACTGTGCAGGTTTTTTCCTAGGTTACTAGTCTGGTCATGCTGCATTTTTCTCAGCACTTTAAGGTTAAGAGGAAGAAGCGTTGGTTGTAAGCCATTTTTGTGAAGCCCTGCCTAGCCTGTTGCTGCTTCTGGACCAGATTCAGCTGACTCTTAAACCACCAGCAACACTTGCCTAATTCAGGGAATGCAGATTCATCCACTTTGCTGTGATGGAAAGGATCCTCCCACTCCCAACTGTAGGTCCGCTAATGCACTGACCTTTCACAGGTGCATGTATAATAAGCAAAATAATCCTCTTGTGCCCATAGAGAGAACTGGGAGCTGTGGTCATGGCTAGACCTGTGTCCATTTCTGCTGTTCTTTGTATTTCTCTCTCAGGAGAGAACACTTAGGGCTGCTGGCAGACATCATCTTCCCAGCATTTCTTACCAGAAGCTGCTGCTTCTCAAGATGTGCTTATGTGAGTACATCCAGAGGCTGTCTCAAAGCAAGGTGAATTAATTTTAGGATGTTCTGTAGCAGATCTTTTGATGATCTGCTACTTTGAGGCAAAGAGAGCGATGGTGAACCTCTCCCACCAGCACATCTGTGTTCAGCAGGGAGTGAGTGTCCTGGGCTGAAATTACCTTCCAGTGGTAACTCCTGGTGTCCATTTGATTTCTAGGACAAAAGAATGTGTATGAAGACCAACTTCTGCAGTATAAATTTTTTTGTCTTCCAAATATAAAAATGAATTGGATTTGTTTTGGAAAACAGATGGTTGAATTTAGAGTTATCTAAGACATCCTAGAGTGGACTGACTTTTATACTTAGTTTTGGAAGAGGAGTCCTACACTTTTTTTGTCATAATAGCCTTAAATTTCACTAAAAGCAAGCATCTGTGCTTTTGAAAAGTGCAGCAGACTACAGTTGTGGGAGGAAGGGGAAGGAATAGGAGATTTTAAATATTCTTTAGAATTTGTAAATATAGATCTCAATCAAGCTTAAGCTATATTCTCACTGATTCTGTAGTCCAGGTGTATTGTGATACCTGTTTTGCTACTGAATCATTTCCTCACCCCAGCCACCTGCCCTGATCATGTCAAAACAGAAGTTGCTCCCTTTTGCCTTAGTTGCACTTATCCCATCGTCTTCCTCCAGTTGCTGTGTTGCTCTGGCTGTGTTTACACACCTTGGACTTGCCATCTGGGCAAAATGTACCACAAGGTTTGTCTTTTATGAAAATGTGAATTGAATTACACACTCCCTTGGCCCGTTTCCTTCCCCAAATCCCATGGGCTAGTGTGAGATGAACCAAACCCAACATTCAGGGAGCTGTGGAGTCTCGAGCCATGGGGCGGGTTGCTCTCTGGAAACAGCATAAAATTAGGGGAATCCTCTATGACCAAGTCCTCTAATGTCGCTGTAAACCTGGAGCAGCACTTCTTGACTTTTAATGGACACTCGTGGTTTGGAGTGGAGTACTTGACACCATGGAACTTGGCACTAGATTTTTTTTGTTAACTTACTTTATTGTACTATCTACTATTATAAATGAAAAGGTGAAAATAAAATAAGGAAAGTTCTCTGCTGTCCTTGGTCATGTTTTGGTCACTAAATTCTGTAGATGGGCTGTATTTTAGTGGGGAAGGTGCCCATGTTCCAGTGTTGGCATTGGGAGCAGCCACGGGGTGTGGGGGGCCTTCTGAATCAGGGCACGGTGATCCAGGGCTTGGAATGTTCCCGGAATGGCAGTAATCCAAAGGTTAAAGAAAACTGTGGGGTTTTGTGGTGGTGTTTTTGTTTTGTTTTTAATTTTAAAGCACTTTCCACAGCTGTGTTGTGTACCGAGGGTCTGGCACAGGTTGCCCAGAGAGGCTGTGGAGCCTCCTTTACTGGAGATACCCAGAACCGCCTGGACAGAATCCTGTGCGACGTGCTCTAGGATGACCCTGCCTTGAGCAGGGAGGTTGGACCACATGGATTCGCCCTTCCCACCGGATCCACTCTGTGGTTTCTGGAGCTGGATGTACGGAACGTATCGTTTATTATTTTTTTTCTTATCAGGGGAGGGTGGGGGTACGTTTTAGGGAATGCATTCAGAGACACGTCCCACAGCTCCATTGCTGTGTCTAGCGAGTGCTGACAGCGCTCCACAGGCCGAACCAAGGAACACCCTGACGAGGGCGGAGAATCCAATCCAACCCAATCCAATCCTCCTCCTCCTCCGCCGGCGCCTCCCGGGCGCGTCACGGCGGGCGCCGCGGGGCGGGCGAGGGAAGATGGCGGCGGCGGGGGCTGGCGCGGGGCGGAAGCAGGTGCGGCAGGAGGAGCTGCGGCGCCTCATGCGGGAGAAGCAGCGCCAGAACGCGGGGAAGAAGCGGATCGACTCGCCCTTCGCCAAATATCCTCGGCGCCGCGCTCCCCAGCGCTCGGCTCGGGGACTGTGGGAGGGAGAGGAGGAGGGAGGAAGGGAGGGATACGGGGAGCGGGGGTCCGCGCCGCGCACGCTGCTGCTTCTTCCCTTAACGCGGCCGCCACGTACAACAGCTTGGGGCACCTGAGCTGCTCCCTGTGCAACGCGCCGGTGAAGAGCGAGCTGCTGTGGCAGACCCACGTCCTGGGCAAGCAGCACCGGGAGGTGAGCGGGGTTCGCGGGGGGGCGGCGGTGCGGGTGCCCCGCTGGTGCCGGGGGTGCGGGGGATGCGGGACGGCGTTGTGCGGGGCTTTGCCATTCGGGAGTATCGGGGCAGCACGTCGGAACGGGGAGGGATCCGGGAAAGGTCCCCCCGCCGGAGCGGGGGCTTGGGGCTCGGTGATCCCGAGGGTTCGCGGTAATGGGAGCAGCGCAGCACCCTCCGGGATGCGGGAGGAGTGTGAAAACAAGCCTGGTTGGTTCGTACGCTTTTTGTCTTCTTAAAAGCCATGCAGTGATTGAAAAGCCAGCGCTTTAAAGGGAGGGTCTTGTGTCTTTCAAGGGGTCCGCCCGTAAGGTGAAGCGGTTCCCACGTCAGCCACAGCTTTTGGCTGTCACTTTTCTGAAGCTCAGGCTGTGAAACCCGTACGGAGGTTGCTCTGGTACCTGTGTGCTGTCAAGTGACAGCTTAGGAAAATATGTTAAGGTTAAGAAAAGATGCCTTTTTTTTTTATTTGTAATATAGCAAATGAAGATGAAGAAAAAGATGAAGAATTTATAAAATGATTCAAGGAGCTTGTAATTTGGATGCGGCCTTAAATCCGGGGGAGTGGTTTTAATCCTTTAAGTTCTGCCACTGCTTCTTAGCAGAAACCGAGAGACTGTGCTTACTTTTACAAGCAGCGAGGAAAAGACCAAAGGAACTGAGGGGGGTTCCTAGTTCATTGCCTCCACTGAGACTAGATGACCCTGGCAAGGCACAGTGACATGTCTTTAATGCTAGTGCTGTGTTTTAATTTTGAAACACTTAATATCCCAGGACCTTAGAATGAGTCCAGCCTTCCCGATTTCTTTTCCAGTGCCTTACTGCTGTCAGTGTCACTGATCTTAGCCTTTCCTTTCTTTCTCATACAACCTCCCTTGTGCAGGTGCCTGTCCCCATGTCACATCATTCCAGAGGCTGACAGTCTTTGTTTGGGTATCTGTTATGTCTGTTTCAGTGATCCTGTTCTAGAAAGATATTAGCTCACTTCAATAAGCTGTTCTAAAAGCACTGTATTTTAAGATGCAATCCAGAAGTTACTGCTGGGAAAGTGTCCTGAATTTTTACTTCTTTACAGAGAGTTGCAGAATTAAAAGGTACAAAGCAGACAGTGACTGGTTCAGCTGCTGGCACATCATCTCATCCTGTCAAGAGAAAAACTGTTGACACGGAAAATACAGAGCTAAAGAGAGTCAAAGGTGAGGAGAGAGAAATACTTATCAAGTACCTGCCAGAATTCAGCCATTTTACATCTTGAATGTTTTTAGTTGTTTTTTTTTTTTTTTTCCTTTGTAAGTGAGTGTGAATACACAAGGCTGTTGAGTTAATGTCAGCCCATTGTGGCTAGAAAGGGAAGAAGTCTGTCTTTCTCTGTGAGTTCACTGTCAGGAGAAAACAACGCCTTTGGCAGTTTTCTTCTGGGTTTTTGGGTTAAATTAGGTCATGGAACTGTGTGCTTGGCCCAAACAGAACCAGTAGCAGTATAAGCTAAGCAGTAAAAGTGCTTGCCCAGAAGTGGTGTCACTTCTTTTCAGTGGGATCAAGCCACTAGTTTACCTCAAACCATGCCTCAAAGTTCTTGCTAAAGGAAAGGCAGTTAATTTTTTTCCCTTGGTGTTACTAGACATGTATACCCTTGAAATACACCAAAGTGGGCATTTGTGAACTTGCCGCTCTAGTAGGAGTCTGAGGGTTATTTCTTTTAAAAGCATGAATTTTAAGGAGTGACTCTTGGCTGTTGTACAGGTACAGACGAAAAGCCACACCCATCTACAGCGGGGTAAGTAGATCTTATTACATATGATTTCTTCGTAACTACCAGCAGCTGCATTCTCGCCCAGTTCTCCCTTGTCACTCTTTCTTAGCCAAGGGTAAAGGTTCCGAGTGTCAAAAGATCCCTGCTTCTGCTCAATTTCCAACAGGGTTGTATATTCCTGAACATGGCAGCATCTTCCTCAGTGCAGATGAGAAAATCCTATCTACTCTTAGAGTCTCTGAGAAAATAGGAATTCTTTTACTGTCACAATCAGACTTCTAAGTATTAACATGTGGTGGTATTATACAGTTTGCTAAAATGAATGTAATTAGATTGTGGCATGCATTTTGATCTTTAATACTAACATACTACAGAAGAGGTGGTGGTCTGAAATTAAGACAAATTTTGAATGTCTAATTAAATATCTACAAAAACAATTAACAAATGTCATCAGTAGATCTTCATTAAGGTGGTTTTTGTCACTTAAAATTCATGTAAGAGCATATCCTGCAGTTGAACTCTTAACAAATAAAGGACTGTATTTGACTTCAAGGGAGTGAGTTGAGCACCTTTACTGCCACTAAAAGTTTCTGGTGGTATTTGGACATCTTTACAGGGTTGGTAGATGTCACATGAGATGAGACCTGAGGGTCTGTTGTACACTTCACAGGCTAAATTATTATTATCCTGCATAGATATTAAGTACAGTTACCTTGTAGAAGTTTGAGTTTGTATGCAAAATTAACACTTGAGAGGTTTGTTGATTTGTGAACTCATCTGTGGGATCAGTTTAAAATATAACATGGAAGATTGTTCGGCTTGGAGGTCTGCAGCTATTCTAAGCAAATCTGGGTTTTCTTACTGCTGAGCCTGTGTGGCTTTTCTAAGCTGCAGTTCTGGGCAGCAGTAGGTACCCAAAACAAGTAGTTGTGTTAACACACTGTTATCAAGGTTTATGTGACATTAGTATGACCACTGTTAATTCTGTATTTAATGTGTTCACAGCAGGTATAGTGATGTACATTACTTCATATGTGGAGACAGAATTATTTAAGCCATCTTTCCTCAAAATACAATTTGTTATGGGTTATTTTTGTTAATGTTTTTGATACTGGATATTCAGCTAGAGAAATGGAACTGAAATTTACAGTTTCTGAAACCTGAAATTCGGGTTTTTAGAATTAACTTGAGCATTTCTGGGGAACTTAAAATGAGAGCCACAAGTATGTGATGCCTTCAGACAGTGTCTACGTTGGCAGCTGTGCAGCTCAGGGTATTGTCAGGTATTGTACAATACCTGACGGCTCGCAGAGTGACCAGGCTTTGCGTGCTAGACTGGAACTGACTCTTGTGAAGTTTGAAACAATTCTCTTGTGGGGTCTTTACTAGGCTGCCATCAGATTTTTTTGATGAAGCGGAGCAAGGCAGTGCAAATGTACAGCTTTCCAAGGGTCCAGGTCCCAGTTTATTGTCAGGAAATTACGACGACGACGACGACGATGATGATGAAGAGGAGGAACAAGAACAATCAAGCAAATCTTCCATTATGCCTAAAACTGAAATTCCACCTCCAACTCAAGAAGCAATAGCTAATTCTCTGCCTGCAGGTAATGCTGACTGAAATAGTAAGTGATTCAGTAAGGAGAAAAGCTGTGTTTTAACTGATGATGAAGGGTTTTTCATTTATTTTTCTAATTATTGTCATTAGCTGGTTAGGGTGGGTAATACTGGGATTAGAGGAAGGAGATTCTTTGCTAGTTTGTTATTTTGTGGTGGTTTGTCAGCGTGCTTATTGATTTTATGTTCTAATCGTTTGAGACTGTCAAGTGAAATAATGTCTGGCTGTTCTTCCCTTGATTCAGTAAGGTATTAATTGACATTCTTGTCTAGTCAGAATTTTAGAAACTGCTTGAATAGCTCTTCTTTTTGTCACAGACTTCTGTCCTTCCCTATAGACTTCTTTGACAGCAAGACTCCTGCTGCTCCTGTAGTTTCCCATTCAGGATCCATACAGAAAGCAGAGGTACAAGAGAAGGTAGTGGAAAGGTAAGCAGTCAAATCAAATACTGATAGTTTTAGGAATTGTAAATAAACATTATTCTTCCAGGAAATAAACATTATTCTTCCAGGAAATATAGACCGTGATCACTTAGAAGTGTATCATATTGTTAAGCTGCATTTTCTGAGGAGTTTGTATATATGTCAGCCTCTGGCATTATTTCAGACAGGTATTTTTCACCCTAGGGACAGAATAAGAGATGGAGGAATGCCATACAGTATCTCTTAGACATCTCTATTGGCAAATTTTAACACAGGGTGCTGTGGAAGCTTAATGTCAACCACTGCTTGTAACTGCTTGTTCTGAAGTAATGGTTTAGGTCACATGAGCACTTTCAGACAGCGGTTTAGTGTTTCAGAAGTAGTGACTGTGCTGTTAAAATGTTTGGGTGCTCAGCATAGTGGAAAGAATAGTTAAGAAGCATAAGCTGTAGCTCTCATTTTCACAGTGAGATTTAAACCATTTTGTGCAGTTCCTTGTAAGTGAGGCAAGACCAAGCTGAACAAGGAAGTTTTGATGATTGTAGGTAAAATTCAGGTCTTAAAAAACGTGGTCTATTTCTAGGTACTTTTATGAAGGATTATGGATTTTATTCTTGACTTTTTAACTCTACAATAAATCAGGCTGTAAAGTGTTAACCTGGGCTTATAGTAATCAAATATTTCAGGAAAGAAAACACTGCTGAAGCTTTGCCAGAAGGTTTCTTTGATGATCCTGAAGTGGATGCAAAAGTAAGTGATCTACTCTTTTTATGCTGCAGGATTTATTTCTGCCGGTTGTAATAATTTCCTGAGTAGATGCTTCTCCAGATAATCAGTCATACCAGAATAAAAGAAAATGACTGAAATACTTAGAATAGAACAGACTATTTCAGTTGGAAGGGACCTACAGCAACCATCTAGTCCAACTGCCTGACCCTTCAGGGCTGACTAAAAGTTACAGCATGTTATTGAGAGCATTGTCCGAATGCCTCTTGAGCACTGACAGGCTCGGGGAATCGACCCCTTCTCCAGGAAGCCTCTTCCACCTTCACACTTCCTTCAGCATGCACAGTGCCAAACGAGCAAAACAAACACTTGATATTTCAACCACCAACCTTTTTGTTTTGTAAAATCTGTCACAGATTTGATGACTTTCTTGCTGTCTTTATTGAAATAACAGCGCTGTAGGCTCAAGTCTCTTTTATTTTCCATGACTATATTTCCCTGTGCACACTGTGGAAGGCTACTGTTGTATTTAAATTGCATTGTGAGGTCCAGCCATGATTTCTAATTTGGAGACCTTCCAAGTAATGCTTTTTTATTTTCAGTTAGTCCCACTGTCTCAGCTAACAAGCTTAGGTGTCTTATTTACTCTGACAAGATTCTTTTGGCACCACTCATGCCACATGTTGCCATATGTGAATCGTTTTTTAATGATGTTCTGAATATTGAAATATGTAGCTGAAAAAGCCTTTTTTTTTTTTTCACTTGCTTTGCTTGTTTGGTTTTCTTGGTTTTGTTTGGTTGGTTTTGGGGGTTTTGTTGGTTTTTTTTGGGGGGAGGTGTTTCCGTTTTTTTGGTTTTTTTCTTCGTGTATGACTAATTCAAGTCTTAAGTTTTTCAAATATTTAGTTTCACCATGAGTTGGGAAGCTTGTACAAAGCTGGGAATACCCAGCAGGCAGAGGAGAATCTGCTTATATCTGTGAGGACGCTGGTTAGTGATCTTTGTTCTGGTTATTGCCTCAACTGATAAAATTTACAAGTAGTTACTTGTTCCAACAAGCTCTTCCTGGACCTGGTTGCAGATGCTCCTCCTTTTAATCATCCCTTTCTGAGTATAGCTAATACTCAGAGGAAGGAAAACGTTTGTGACGCCACTTAAATTGAGATGGCTGCAGTGGTCCTGTTTTGGAATCATAAGATAAAATAATTATTTTAAAAATTAACTGAGCATTTGGAAGGGAGATCGTGGGCATCGAAAATGTTTGTTATTTACATTGGGTAAAGCGTATGAATTCTGGATTAGATAAATATTTCAAGAAAAAATAACTTTAGTGTTTAAATTTATTGTAAGAAATACAAATAATTATGAATTACAAAAGACAACCACAATGCATAATAACACAGTACATACACATATGATAGAAATAATCACAGAACAGAAAAATGAAATGATGACTATTACTTCCCAGTATGAGTTTGCTTGGAAGCTTCTAATTTATTCTATAAACTTAATTCATACTACTAAATTTTTTATAATTACTCAGGAACAAAATGTACCAAACTGTTTTCTTTACCGTGGTGATGACTGATGTGTCACCAAAAGAGCAAAATGAATAAAGGAAAAATAAAACTAATGCAAAAAGATGGTGTCGTGAAATTACTAAGTTCAAACTGCTTAGTTCTCCAAGCTATATAATTTCTACCCAGTCCTGAGTCAGGCATAATCTGTTGTCTAACGTGTTATATGCCACATCTTCCAGTTTCAAGTTGTGAAAGTTTTGATTACACAGGTAGATTATCTTGTTTGTTTATTTGCGTTATAAGCACAATCTGGTTTTGATTACCTTAGTCGTAGATCTTAAACACGTTCTTACAGCTACCGCTTTTTCAGACTTCACGTCTTAGTAACTAATGCCATCTACCACAGAATAAAAAGCTTTACGTGCCATTAAAATTGGTTTGTAGCTGTACAGTTTCTTCTGTTAGCCAACAAAATTAGACTACATTTGAAATACAGTCATACTACCTAACAACAGAACAGCTGTTGTTCTATGTTATGCCAAAGGCAAATAATTTACTGCTTTTTGGCTTGTGAAATGGCTGCTGTATGCAATTGAACAGGCAGTTTACAGAAGAATTTAGAAGTTATCACCTGACACAGTGAAATTCCAGACCATCAAATTAACAGACTTAGTCACTTTTGTTACTCCAGACGTTCCACACCAGCCGTTCTTAATTATTCTTTAATGCTACAGTCACTGATGTTGTTTTAATCCAGGAGTAGAGTCAGATTTTTCCTCCAAAACCACTGTGCAAGTGCACTCTCTTACTCATATGTATTACTTCAAATGAAGTACATCGACCAGACTTTTCTGATAACACAGCATAATTTTTCCTATTTCCCCTGATTTTTTACAGTGCCCCAAGGGGTCACTAGACATAAATTGTTACCTTATAAATTTTCATGTTCCTTAGGTGAGAAAAGTTGATGCTCCAAAGGATCAGATGGACAAAGAATGGGATGAATTTCAAAAGGCAATGCGACAGGTCAACACAGTAAGTAATGGAATCTATTTTTATTGATTCTAAATACTATACACAATAAAGAAAACATTTTCATGCAGCTCTTGCAGAATGACTGACATCTGCATTTGTCAGCTGTTTGTTTCAATGCAATGTATGGTTAAATGCACTGTATAAATAAGCAAAGGGTTCCTTCTATTTTCCACTTAAAGGAAATTAGGTTGAAAAACTTTTGATCAGGATCCAGTCATCCATGTGTATCTAGTTAACATTTGTTAAATTGTATTTTATTTAAATACTATTTAGATAACATACACCTCAGATCAGTGTCCTTTATCCAAACAGGACACGATTGTGGACTCTTCTTTAGATCTAGAGATACATGTATATTTTAACCTTTAAAAACACAGAACAAAAGACACCCGTTCGTCTCCCTTTTTCAAAAAGCATCTATAAAGGATAGGTAACCTGGGTATCATGGTTAATTTAAACGTACTGGAAAGGAACCCCAAAATTTGGGAAAGTGTTGAAAGAGTTTGTGTGTGAGACACATAAATTGGCCGCAGTTTTTCTGTACTTCCATTTTTTACTGTTTAGCATTGCATGGAAAGTCTTCCTGCAGCAGGTTTTTTTCCTGCCCTTTTGTACAATATAAAACTGCACTAAAGAATACCTGGCGTTCTTCCCCTAGAATATTAGCTATTTTTTTTATTATTTTAATTGTAAATAATTACTCATCTGTCAACTGCTAAGAAAAGTGGTGCAGAAAAATTTATCATTGCTCATTTTAAAGCCATCAGCACTATAAACAGAGCGAATGTTCATACAAAAGCGGTGGTGGATACATTTTGCTAGCATAAGCCATTCAGATATTCTTCAGCTTAGGAGGAATCTTCTCAGTTATGCGTGGACCATTGATTGCATAGCATCTCCCAGACATTCAGATTTGAGAAAGTATATGCTGAAAAAAATAACAGGTTAGAAACACTTCGGGATCTAGTGGGAATATTTAAGCAATATGTTTACTAATAAGTGTGTGTAATTAAGTCCCAAGCGCTGGGATATAGCTCCTGTTTCAGCCTCAGACTTTGGATGTGTGTAGTTCATTTATGCTCAGCTTCAAATCACAGTGTATTGAAAAATTCAAAAGATTAACCCCAAAGCAGCCAATCTACTTTTGCTTTTAGGAAAAAACATTTCCATTTCAAATTAAACCAGACTGTTGTTTTTTTTCCTGTATTTGCCCTTGTGAAAGTGGGAATATACATATAGGAGATTGACACTAACTTGAGGTAGGGGGGAAAGAGGGAAAGACAGACATCATAAAGGAACGAAAGTGGAATTCAGGATGGAGGTGAATTTTCTTGGTGCTTTTCTGGCTTAGATTTCAGAAGCAATAGTGGCAGAAGATGATGAGGAGGGACGACTAGATCGCCAGATTGGAGAAATTGATGAGCAGATGTAAGTAGATCAATTTTTCCTCAAACTCTCTGTTCTCCAGCAGTAGTGGATTTCTACTTGACTAGACATTTTTAATCTGATACCACCTTTCATTAATCACCTGAATATTTGAAAGACAGACTCCCTCAAATGGCAGAATGATACCTAATAAAGACATGAGTTCTGGTGCAAAGTTATGTAACTTTCTCCAAAGAAAAAACACATCTGAATCACTGAAAGTACAGAAGGTGAATTCTTGGAACAAACTGTCCCCCTTTCCCTTGTCAAATGTCTTAATTTGTATTTCTCTGGTATTTATGTGCACATTTTTAAAAAGTATTTGCTGTACTGAAAATGTCCTATTCTTGTTCTAGTAAAAGTTTACTTAAAGGTTACGCTGAATGATGTACTACATTAAATGAAGTGGCTTGTTTTGTGTTGCTGAAATGGTAGATGTGGCAGTTGAATAAGCCTTACTTTAAACTCAAGAACCTGAAATACAGCTTCGTGGAACAGTTTGTCACCATTATCATGTAGCTTAACACATGGATTAATAGTGATAATGGCAGTAGTAGTGACTGAAAAGGAAAAGATAAATTCTGATTTTAATGAACCTTGCAACAAAAAGAAGACACAAAAAATTAAAGCAACACATAAGACATCTGGGCAGATTTACACGCTACACATAATCAGCGTATAATAACAATAGCATTGAGTTCAAACTGAGGTTTGGTATTACAGAAATGCCTCTTAACAGTGTTCATCTAAGGGCTGGGGAAAACTAAACCTGCCTCTCTGAGGATTCATTTTTCTCAGTAGCTAAGGATACTATAGTACATGGAACCAAATTCAGAAATTTGTAGAGAATTTCAAGTTTGTTACTGAAATTATTTTTTCCCTAAATAAAAGTTACAAATAGATTTTTAGGCTTTTTGTAGTTTTGTCTTCTGACTGTATTTAAATGCAGGCTTTTTAAAATTAATTTGGAAAGCAAACTAATTCCAGGGACATTAGTGTTTTCCTTAGCCTTCAAATTTTTAGCTATGACTGCCTGTAAGTAATTGTATTTCAGATACACAAGGGGAAACAGGATCTACATTGTAATCTTTCCTTGGTGTTTCTTCTTAGCAAAGATGTATTTAAATCAGGCTGATACTAGTTGGCACGTTCAACAAAATACCCCATTTCAAATGGCTAGAGTAATTCTAACAGAACATATTTTAAGGACAGAACTTTTTAAGTAAATGGAAAACTGAAACTTTTGGATTATGTTTACTTAAAATATTCTGCTATAGCACATAGGAAACAGATAAAGAATCTGAACACTTGTGCTGCTTTTTTATTTTCAGAGATGCCACTTCTAAGTTATCAAAACTGATAACCAATTGATGTCTCACCTTTCTACCACACATGAAAACCATAAGTTGAGCAAAGAATGACGTATCTTTCTGTGTGGAAGTAGATATTGGTTCTGTGCTCTTTAAAAAATGATTTGTGGTGGTATTGCAGTTACTAAATATTTGGATTAGATTTCATTGCTAGAGACTGACCACACTACTGCTCTCCTCTGGTCTCCTTCCACCTGATAAACACAGAGAAGGCGCAGTAGCATCTCGAGAGCTTATTTTTTTAATTGATGGGAAGCTGTAAAGCCTCTTTATCTAAAGTTGGAGAGGCAAAATCCAGCACTGTAGACGATCAAATTAATGTGAAAAGGCCACAAGTGTTAATAGGTGGTTTATTTTTCAACAGTGAATGTTATCGCCGTGTTGAGCTTTTGCGTAACCGCCAGGACGAGATGAAGGAGAAGCTAAAGGAAGCCATGAGATTAAGAGCAACACAAGAGAAAGAGGATGAGGATATTGGTAGTGAAGATGAAGAAGAACTGCAGGATTTGCTGTCTCAAGACTGGCGGGTGAAAGGGGCTTTGTTGTAGCATTTCTACAACATGGTTGATACTCTTTTTATCTGTAATGTTACTTCCATTGTTAGAAGTGAGACACCTTTGTTAAATATTTATTTAAAGAGGATTGTGAGATGGTAAAGAGCCAAGTGTTTTAAAAAAGAAATCTTTGTAGATCTAAGTGGTGTATTACTTGTTGTAAAAACTTTACTTTGCAAATGTTTTACAATATTGAATGCACCTTTCCTATTAAAATTACTGGTTTCTTACCAGAAGTATTTCAGTGGGATTAGTAAGTCTATAAAGAATCTCTAAGGTTTTGGAAGGATTAGCCATATTTGGTAATTTTGAGACTTGGCTGTGGCTTATTGTGTATAGAAGTAAAGGATTTGAGTGGTCTACAGAGTTTATCCAGACTGGGGGGTTAGGGAAAGGAAAATATTATACATTTATGTTTTCTGAAAATTTTTAAGTGCTCTTCTGTCCATTGCCCCAGCTCCCAATAAAATATGTACATTTTTTTTCAGGATCTGTTACAGTTTCTCTGTGTATATAAGGACTAGCTCAGAAATGCTGAGCTACAGCTTCTCCACAGTGTATACTCTGTGATGTGCCATATGCAGTGCTGAATATTTTTCTTTATAGTACCCTGTTTTGCTTAGTGCAGCCGTCCTGTAACATACCTCACATTTCTTGAACCAGAGGGATGGGAATACAGTGGTTATATATCTGCATAACTAAATGAAAGGGCAACAAAAAAGGGCAACAAAATGCCAGAGAGGAAGGTACTGCACTGGACACTGAGGAGGTAAAATAATTTCTCTAGCTGTAAAATACTGGCAGTTTTCTTCAAATATTATCTTAGGCACAGAGAGCATCTAAAATTGATTTCTGTTCTGATAAACACAGATTAAGTAAAATGAAGAACCGGCAAACTTGACAAGACTGGGACATGAAAAGCAGACCTACCTTAAGCATTGGTAAGTGTCGTTTTTTTATTTTCATTTTTTTAATGAAGCAAATCTTAAAACATTTCAAATTTGCTGAGCACTTGGAAAAAATAGGAGACGTGTGGCTTGATTTATATAAAAAAGTAAAGTTGTGAAGGAGCAGTTCAACATTTTCCTTTAAGATTCTAGTTTCAAAACTAGATTTTAAAGGGAGAAAACAAGCTTTACTCTTATGAGTAAATTCTCATTACTTGTCTCAGAGATGTTTATGAACCAAGCAATAAAGATTAGAACTAAAGTTAGATATTTGATTTGCCTGTTTTGGAGGAAAGATGTGATATGGTGGGAGCCCTTTCTGTATAGTGATAGAGATGCTTTTTTATCACTCCCGATTTCCATGATGCTTGGGTTCAGCTCTTTATATTTATAAAGCTATCAAAATTCAAGCAATGGTCCTTAGCAGTTTATTGCATCCATTTATTCCTGCTCACATGTGCTGGATTACTGCTATTGGGTTTTGGTTGATTTAATAACCCTAAGTGTAAGTAGCTGTTGCTGCTAAAATGTTTGATGAAACACTATAGTCTTACATGAATTAGTACTGTCATTAAAATATCAATATTCAGAGAGTACTGAAATACAGAATAAGCATTCAGAGAATATTGAAATAAATAATGAATGCTTGGACAAGTTGGAGAAAACTTAGTTGGATCAAAACTGAAATACAATTATTTTTTATAGCAAGAAACACTTGAATATCGATGTCTAAGGTGCTGTCATGCTGCAGTGAAAGATTACTAGACATTTATCACTGTAAAGAGAACTCCGAGCTGAGAGGGTGCTACAGCCTTAAGAGATGGACAGTCTTTTTCAAAACAAAATGAAAGACAGACCTGCACTTCCCCTCTGAGAAGAGCTAAGCTCAGTTTTTAACTGTTCTATTTATATTTGCTTTTCACTGACCCCATTCACCAAAACATCCTAGCTTGTTAACACTGAACTATAGTACCACTCTGCCTTTGGCTTAACATCAGAGAAACAGGATGTGAATAATGTCAGATTACACTGAGCATCGTGGACATACATGTTTTGACAGTATAAAAATGTTAAACTCTCGAGTTTATAACTGACATTTCTTTTTTGTACATTTTTCTGTAGTTTTACTTAAATCTTGTACATGAACCTGCAAATCATGTTTTCACCTGCAGATGAGCAGAAAATCAACTGAGCATCAAAACAGTTCAGCTTCTTTAGACCAGATGCCCTCATCTTTAGGGGTATCTTGTGGTAACAAGCTAAAGACAGGGAGTTTAGTTATGGAACATGGAGCTTGTACTGTGAAATCCAGACCAGTGCAGCCCATTGTTATTATTAGAACTGAGATGGCAGGAATAAACACCAGATCACTCATCATTCTATTCATTATCCTTGCACAACTTTTTGAAAGAGTAAAGACCGGCCAGTGGCTGCATGCATTGCTGGGGAAGTGACAGCATTGGTCCCTCTTGGTTGCTTCTTGTTTAGTGGTTAACGCTCTTTTCCTTGGAGAAATGTTAGAGATCTACAAATAGTGCTGTATCCAAGTTTTACCCAGCTTACTGCTGTGTACGGCACGCGGAACAAAGCTTTTAGAGAACTTTGTGAAGATGATGGGAGTGCCCTTTGTAACCAGTGATGTACGCGTGCTGTTATGTTAAGAAGGCAAGAAATCACCCACCTTTTAGCAATGGAAGTAGCATGGCTATAAAGGAGAAGAGGGATGTATCCTAACCCTACGCAGTAGTCAAGCTAATTTATCAAGGTAAATAATCTCCTGTGTCTTAAGAGAAATGTAGGCATAATTAGTTTATAATCTAAATATATCTTCAGCTTTAGAAAACAATTTTATGTACTTCTGATGAGCTATTCAGCTAGACTGATTATTAATCAGAGAAAGTAATTGTTTTAAAAATGTGTACTTCCTTAATTTCTTTCTCATTTCTTAACTTTTTTGAATTCTATTTTAAACAATAAAGACTAAAGTAGTCCTAGTAACTAGCTTTGTCCATAAAATAGCTTTGTCTATTAAAAATGAAATTTTAATTGGAATTGAGAAAACTATTTTAATTCTCTGATCTCCAGAACTTCCACAAAACTGAAGAATCAGAATTAAGTGGGAAGGTGCTTAACATTTGTAATCCTTATTTATCGATGATAATAATGGAGAGCGTTGCCCAAACTTAAGAGCTGTGGAATTTCCTGCCACCAAAGAGTAGCTGAGGTTCCCCAGCTCAGGGGTTGTGAAACTGGTAAGTGCCTTGCACAGGGCCGGGATGTCTGGGCCTGTAGGTGTGTGAATGTTTGAAATGGAGTTCCGAGTAGCAGCTCTGCAGGCGCAGCTGCCACGGCCACAGCTGCCACCTGCTCGTGGTCAGCTCTTCTCTGGTAGGTGAGTGCAGTCGGTCCCAAATGGTAATCGGTGTGCTGCCTTCTCTCCTGCCCTGGAAGAAATAAGCTGCTGCTGCCCTCATGACTTAAGAGGAGATGTGGGAAAAGGTCTGTATTTGGAAAATAGATTGTGGAAAAAGGCCAAAAGTGACCGTGCAGAAACAACCTAACCCAAGTAACAACAAACCAAACAGTGTTCTCATTTGCTAACATGATTGTTATTCCTCTGCCACGGAATTTAATTTTAAAATTTGCTTCAGAATTGCAAATTCTGATTAAAAAGAACACTAACATTAGCTTTTGCCAGGCCACCTGCCAATAATTTCAATTCAGTGAGAGACAGATTTTGCTTATTTCATGCCACTATAATTAGATTCTCTGCATTTTATCATCTTTAGAATACTGAGCTGGAAATAGCTCTGAGAAGTCATATTCAAGTATTTTAAAATATTTCACTATTTTCTGATTTTTTTTTCTTATAATTCAGAAATTTTGCACTAGAAAATCAGACATTCAGCCTGTAGAAATCATGTTGTTGTCATTAGAAACCTTTATGTGAGTATATAATGTTCAAGAAATCCCCTTTTGTGAGGTACCATCAAATGAATTTGACACTTCACTTTCTTTTCAGTTACTGTCTTAATATGTCTGCCAGTCTGTGGAGTGGCAGGACACAGGCACTGATGCAGAGACTGCTTTAATCAACAATTCCTGCGTTCCTTCCTAGAACCAAGGAACTGATCAAGTACACTTCAGTGCCGGGAAGGGTGGTGTGTACTTGTATCCCTAGAAGGAAGTATTGCTCAGGCCAAGAGTTGGAAATTTCAGGTGTGAAGCAGTTTTTCAGTATCTGCCTTCATCTGATCTTCTGTTCATCACTTCAGTTACAACTATCCTGTCCTGATAGCTGGGAAAAGAAATGCGAGTATTTCCTTTGTGCAGACATCTAAACCAAGATCTTTTTTTTTTCAAAAATACAGTGGAGGAACTAATGCCTTGCACAACTGGTGGTTACTGCAGTTTCAGAGGATACAAGAGATCTCTGTTCAAATCCCGCCTTTCAGTGTTGTCCTTTGAACATCTACGTTGTGTGACCTAGTTGAGCAGTCTAACAATTCCAGTCTTTCCTGTAGAAGCTGTGCCGCTGTAAAAATGACTGAATTAGTGAGCGTATGTGACTTTCTTGTTAGATAATCATGGCACTCACCCAAGAAGGGGAGGGTCCTGTTCCAAGTGCATAATTAGTGCTGAAATACAGTCAGCTGATACTGAGGCTGTGGAAGAAGCTGGGTTTGGATCTTCCCCATCTCAGAGAAGCACTCTTTTTTTCATGCTGTTGGGTATTTAAAAATGAAAGCAACGGCAGTGTTTCCATTTTTGCCTGGTTTGGGTGGGAAAGGGTCAGCATACGCTTTAACACTGTCTCGTGAAACCTGACAAAACACTACCTTGTCCATGCAGCCTTCTGAGGCTGAGGCACTTACCAGGTGCCTGCACTGATGGCACCAGTGAGATTTATGCTGTTAGCTTCCTAGGAGCTTTGACTGGCACAAATATGAACCTCGGGGCCCACAGATGCCCTCTAGCTATGCCTGAGAACAGAAAGCACTCTGTGTATTAGCAATGGACTAACTTCGTTTGTTTTCCTTCTGGTTGACTGTTCCAGCCAGCATTCATAATTTCGTATTTTTTTCACTCGAGAAACACAACAGAGCTGCTGGAATTCATTTGAGATGTTTCCAGAAACCTAATAGCTATTTGATGATGCAAAAGCTGCAGAACTTGTGCTGTCTTTCATCTGGAAAATCTCAGCTGTGTGGGCAGTGACCTTTTCACATTGGGTACATGATTCCTCTTTTCTACCTTTGGCATGAGCGGTTTAGATTTCTTGGGTAGTACTATTTTTTACATTTTTTCCCCCTCCAGACATTTTGTTTGCCTGGTTTATATATTAAAGCTATTCAGGAGCTTTTTCTTGCCATTCAGAAATATTTTCCAGCTAAAATAATGAAATTAAAATGAGCCTAGAGTTTATCACACTTGTGCCTGTATTTTTTTGCAAAAACCCTCTCAAAAGACTTTTCTTCCTTTGTCATTTTGCCTCTCCTCATTCCATACACAAACATGCCCCTGCACTACTTTGTTTAAAT